AATACAATAGATTATGGAAATTACCGAGAGATAGCAATCTATAGTAGGTTGAGACTTGGGTGCATAATTTTCCTTGACACATGAAATTTTTTAATCCAATTTTGAGACCATCGACAATAACAGACCCACGCGGAAAGGGCTATCTGCCAGCAATGGCGCTCCACATTTAATGCGAAGTCTTGAATTGCGTTTTCAATAGTCCGCGAAACTTTGAAGCCCACGGCATCACCAAATCATTCAATGTGTGTAGACAATACACGTTAAGTTTTAATTTGGCACACGTGTCTTTAATATGTCACCAGATTTTTATATCAGCCGTGATTCACATACAAAGGGAGCCTTACAGACCTTTTTGAAAATACAAACATACATGGGGTCCACGTAATTTTTTTAATACATGTGGGGCCCCTACACAGTGAGGGTCCTTGTAAAATATCTGTGAGTAAATTTCTGTACACTGAGCATTTCTATTTCTATATAGCTCTATTTTAGGAGAAATGGTTCATTTGTAGAGTTTCTTTTTCTTTTTCTGTTTTTGCTTCTACTTTTACTTTTATTTTTACTTCTTATGATAAAGATTTCAAAGAAACTAATTTAAGCCAACTTCCTCTAAAAATTATTCTACGTTTAGAAAATTATCTAAATATGTTCTTAAGTGGTATCAAAAGTAACATTTGACTATTCAAATGTCCTGTCAAATGGACCTTTGACAATCCTCAATTTTTTTTTCCTAGTATTACATCTACAAGAAAGATTTAAGGCCCTGTTTGATTGGGCAACAATTTCATGGAAAATGGAAATTTTTTTCATTTTTCCATCTTTTGGTAGTGTTTGATAGCAAATAATTTTCATGGAATTCATTCTCTTGGTTTTTTTGAAAATTGGAGTTTTCTTGGTTTTCAAGGAAGGTGGGAATTGGTTTTCTAGGTAGGCTGCCATTTTTTTTTTTTTTTATTGGTAATGGAAACAGATTTTAAGAATTATTGTAAAAAAAAAAATTTCCCTTTAATTGGCAGTTTTCATATAAAATAAAGTCAAACGAACATCAAAAAATAGATGATTTTCTTGAATAATTTTTTTTTTGGCAATGGAAATAAATTTCATCCCCAAAATCTATGATTTTAGTTGACAATTTTCATATAAAACAAAGTCAAATACTTTTATTTCAACATTTTCCACGTGAAAAATTATAACAATCAAATACAATAATTTACAATTTTCAGGAAAACAATTTCTAGGCAATTCAATTATCTGGAATTCGTTTTCTTTCCACCCGAATTTCATCTTTGCAATTAAACAGACTCAAATGAAAATAAATATTTTACGATTAAATCGCACCTTATTTAATTTCAAGTTTAGATTACCGTGATGGTATCACACATCATCGAAAATGGTTGATATGAGCAAATTCATTAGTCTCTCTCATTGCTCGGCTAGAATACAAATTAAAATATATCCAAATAAGGATAGTCAATGAGCTGGCAAATACTTCTATAATGGACCAGTCTCTTGGAATAACTGATTTTCATCTCCAAGATAACTCAAAATAGTTGAAGTATAATTGAATAGATACCCTATTTTATGAGATTTTTTTTCCATTTTTTTAAATAAAGATTACCAAAATATGTTAATATATAAATAATAAAAGCCTTTGATAATTAATTGTTGATAGCCCATGTTTGATTCAAATAAAAATTAATTAAATATGTGATTAAAAATAAGTTTTGAAAATGGAGATTAAACGGACATTAATCGCAAGAAGAATAAAATTGATAGGTGGATAAAAATAAATTAAAATGTAGGTAAATTTTCAATAATTGTACAGGAGCAGTATGACTTATTTAGCCTCGTAATTAAATGTACCGACAAGCAGAGGTCATTTAATTTATTTTTGCCATAAAGGCAAAGGCATTTTGTAGTTAATGCAAACGTACAAATAACCTAAAATAATTCCTTTGCCTTGTAAGATACGTACGAAGTTTGTTAGTGTTAGTTGCGGGTTGATAAAACCAAGGATTTGATCCAACTCTATATACCGTGAAATATATTGGTGAAACACATTAATTAAAAGAAAAAAAAATTGCTATGAAAAAGATTTAGAAATACTTATTTAATGACCGTATGTTATGAATGACCTTTATATTGCAATGTAACTTTTCTTAAAATGTTGTTCGCCGTCACTACTTACAAATTATGCCATTATGGTATGCAATTAGATTAACACGAATACAATATATGATTGAATCATGAATCCAGGAAGGTCAAACACAAAATATAATAGTCAGGGACTGATCCAAAATTGAATCCAATACTGGGCTATAAAATTTCAAGGGGGGGCTAATACGCGAAAAAAAAAATTACACATAAAAAATGGTTTTTACCCAAAAAAAAAAAACCTTAAAAAAATTGAAATTCTTGGGCTTTGGAGGGACTACAGCCTAGCTTAGTCCCCTCTTACACCCGCCTCTGATAATAGTATTAAAAATAAAAGTTATTTTAACTCCAAATTTTAGTGAAGGTCATGGACTCATAAAGTTAATAAAATTTGTGGATCCCATAAATCTATGGTAAAAAATATGTTTGGAGAATAAATGATCAATTTTAAGAAATGGAGGTCAAACTATGGCATATTATACTCATGAATTGTCCCTATTTTTTAAATTATTATTCCTCAAACTCATTTTTATTAACACGTTTCTTGAAATTAGTAACTTTTATAAACTTTTCAATTATATATTTCATTAACATTTATAAAAATTAGATCAAAATTTGATTTCTATTTAAATAAAATAAGGGTAGTATACATACTCTCAACTATCAAGTTATCTAAACTTCAGCCCCTCCACTATTAGGTATGCATCACCAAGTGGTACATCTAACGAGGCATGGAAAATTCAGGAGAAAAAGAGGTATTATAAACAAACAGGGGCATTTTTGACATTTGTGACCCCACAAATACATGGTTCTATGGGTTCATGTATTCTAAAGTCTAATGTACTAATTAAGTTACTTATAAGCAAAGAATTTTTTGTAATTATTGGTCCAATTATTTTAAGACTCTTGTCAAGTTGGTGTTATTTTAATGTCAATTTTCTCTGTACTCATTTGCTGATTTAAACGCAACTTTGGAATTTAATTGATGGATCTCACGTCGAGTCCTTTTCAGGTCTATTCATTCAATTTGTTTTATAATAATGTGGAATTCTATCAACATTGTAAAATCGTTCTCTTGAATAAGATACCAAATCGAGAATCAACTTGTAACCTCTATTTTTCAGTGTCCTTGCACTGGAGCAAAAGCATGCCCGAATTTATTTAAAAGTTACTTTTATCTCGCATTTGATAAAGTAAGTGATTTACTGACTTTTAGTTAGGGTGTGAAGTGTAAAATTGCTATCACCAAAATACATTTTCCACTTATGCATCCTCCATGGATCCGACTCGTTAATTATTTTGTTTGGTTGTAACTTCATTCCATCCATCATTTCTTCGCAAGTCTATTTATCTCTCTTCTTTGGATCAAATTTCACTACGTTATGAAGACTACTGTTTGATTTAACTAAAAAAGTTGATATATAAATCAAGTGAAAATTAACAATTAATTTCAACACACATTTCATGGAACATATAACTTTTCAACCACACATTTCATCAATTTTTATCAAAATATACTAAAAATATGATTTTTAGCTAAACCAAAGAGGATCACATATATCACTTCTCTTGTATTAGATTGAATAAAAAAGGCTTCAACGTATATCTTTCTTCTTCGACTCTAATAAAAAAAAGTTATTTCGCCAACATCCCAAATATGGATTTATAATTTAAAATGTGGTGTTTTACTTGTGTATCATTTCAACTTATTGTCTTTTTGTTTTGTTTAGATATTCGATCTTCAAAAGTTTGAAGAACCACTTTTTTTGCCTAAATTTTGCAGTGCTAATGCGTAATCTTTGTATATGAAAGGTCAAACTATGATTAGCTGTGTTCAACTTTCATATCAACGCGTAATCTCTCCTGGAAACAATAGAATGAGAGTTTCATAGTAGGGTATTGCCCGCTCGACTTGACTTTTTGAGCTAAATCTCTCTGTGGATCAAATATTTGGATCTTTTTTAAATCATTAATTATTTCAAAAATTAAAAAAATAGTTCGACAGTGTAGCTCGAGTAGTGTGACACGGCTCAAGGGAAATTTTAACATGCCTTGCATTTTTGCATATACGATAGACTATAATCAAATTAAAATCTAAATTTGATTAAAATTTAGTTTTTAATCGGTTCCAAACAAGGGCATAATATATTATAATTTTAAGGTACATCAAAATTTTATCGTTTCCAAACAGAGTAATAATATATTATAATTTCAATGTACGTCAAAAATTTATATAGATAACGTTAATATGTTTTAGATAGTATTGTAAAATAATCAGAACTCTTGTACTGTAAAACTTGGTGTATTATCATCACTGATAGACTAGAATAATTATTGTATTATCATACATTGATATACTATAACTTTTAGAGATAAGTTAGAATTGCACTATGATCTTTAGATATTTTACATTTTACCAAATAATAATAAACATCAAACAAGCTGTCAATAATTTCCTTCGACCAATCAAATTAAAGTTCAGAACTCTAAAAGAGTCGTATAATTATACAATGGTTGCATTAGTTTATAATTTACTTTGGAGTCAAAACAAGTTAATAATGCTAAGAAGCATAATCGAGGTACGAAATATCATACTGTAGAAGCGAAAGATGCGGTGTATATTCGGCGCATATATAGAAAATTTATGAGTTTTTTTGAAATTACGCAAGTGCTTATAAGACAATTTTGTTAATTTTTAGATCAGGCAGTGCTCATCGTTGAGATTTTGTTATTTTTAGATTTTGTTGGTTGGAAATATTTTCAATTTTGTCCTCCTCAGACTAACTGGTTATTTTGTAATATTTCTAAAAACAAAGCCCAAATACATAGAAAGCGTAGTCTTAGCTATCCGTTGAGCGCCCACTCTTCATTTCGGTCACCACTGCTACTCAAACCTCCAAATGTCTCAGTTTTCCAATTTTCACCAATTTTACCGTTAATATACTTTGTCATCTTTATGAAATCTCAAATCTTCTTAGTCTCATTATTCACACACTACACACATTAACGGCGCTCGACAATTTCGCCGGAAATAATGGCGGTTTCCGGCAAGTCCTCCGGCGAGAACCAGACCTCCGAAAACTCCCCTTCCAGTTTTTTCGCTTACAGAACCCCAATTCTTGGACAAAAACTCTACGTCGTTATTATCGCTACCGCCGTCATTATGCTTTTCATTTTCTTTTTAATTTTCCTTTTCCTTCGTTGGAATCGGAACTCGAAACGGCGCCGCGTTGGTATGAAACACAGTTCAGGTTTACTGCCTCTGGTTCGTGATGAGATCACGGAAGTCAAAAGCTCGGATCACGCTCAAATAAATACAGTCGGTGTAAAAAACAAAGCGTTTTTTATACAGACTGTGGTGAAAGGTATTGTAATCGAGTCCGAGGGCAAAAAGGGAAGTTCGGAGAGCAATGAGTCTAGTACAAGTCGGAGCGAGTCCTCCTCTGCTATGTCGGCTTCCACTGACGGGCTGAGTAACATTGGGTGGGGTCGATGGTACAGTTTGAAGGAGCTGGAAATCGCAACAAATCAATTTTCGGATGATAATGTGATTGGTGAAGGAGGCTATGGCATCGTTTACAGAGGCGTTTTGCATGATGGCTCTGTTGTTGCCGTGAAAAATCTCCTAAACAACAAGTAAGTTTATCATAACCTTCATCGGAAAAGACCGCAAACATAATTTTATTGACTGTTTTAAATTTCAGTTCATGTTTGAAATTTGGGTTAATGATATTTGGTCAATTCTTTGTGTGATTTTATTTAAGTGGAATAAGAAAGTGTTATAATTGCATGAATGTTAGGTTGGGATTCTTTTTTTTGGACAGAAAGGGATCAAAGCTTCGTAGATCTGGATTGGAATGAATTTTTCTTTTATCTGAAAACTGGATTGGAATTAATTGCGTGTGCCGGTGCGTTTTTGTCTCTTTTGACTAAAAGAAAACTAAAACTTTTCCTTTTGTTTCTTTATTCCTTTGTGATAGTTTATTTTATCTTACTGAACTTTTGATTTCCCCCTTTCCTGGTTAAACGCCTCTTTATCCATCCTTTTTCCTTTGTTAATTTTCCTGTGGCAGCTATGACTTTATGCTGGTTTAGGTGAATGATTTTTGGCTTCTATAGAATATTTTTAAGGAATAACTATTTATTGATGGAAAATATTGTCTTTTGAAGTCAGTGATTGGCTTGCTACAGAAAATATCTGGTCGGATGGATGGACGAGATGTTCTTGATTGATGGATAATTAAATTTGTAATTTCTGGCACCAAAACTTGCATTTGACAATTGCAAAATCCAAGAATGCCAATGCTAATAATGCTGTATACGATGAGAAGCAACGGATATAATAGATCTGCACAATGTTGGAACCTATCTGGCAACAAATACCTCGACGGGGGTGCAATTGTTGTTTTCATTTATTTGGAAATTTGCATTAGTGGTTGCTTCATATTCCAGAGAAACTTTTCAAAGAGAATATCATATCTGAATGAGTTCATTGAACCTTGTAATGGAAGAAATTGATTTTAAAACATGAAATCCCCGACCAGTATCTTTTCTTTTTCTTATTTTTGAAAATGGTATTTCTACTAACCAGCAAACAATTGATTAAGCTTGGCGAAACTTTATTTGATTGAGTCGTATGGATACATGTAGTGATTATGACTTGAAGTTTCTGCTGAACTTCAATGGAACCCCAAGCTCTTTGAACATCGAAACAAATGATCTGTTCAAACAGGTATTTTGATTCAATTTGATGCTTAGTGATTCACTTGTTGATAGGGGTCAGGCAGAGAAGGAGTTTAAGGTGGAAGTTGAAGCCATTGGAAAGGTAAGACACAAGAACCTTGTGGGCCTGATGGGTTATTGTGCAGAAGGTGCTCAAAGGTACATGTCACCTGCTGTTGAATTTCTCTCTATTAGGTAGATATCACTGTCTTTTCCTAAATTAATAACGATGTTTTCTTTTCTTCCATTTAGGTTGCTAGTTTACGAATACATTGATAATGGCAATTTGGAGCAGTGGTTACATGGTGATGTGGGGACTGTTAGCCCTTTGACTTGGGAGATCAGGATGAAAATTGCCATTGGGACAGCAAGAGGGTGAGATATTTGTGTCTCACGGTCTACATTTTTACCACGACGCTTATATTGGAAATGAGACTCAGTTTATTGGAAATAAGACTCAATACTAAGCAAACAGACTGGTCAAAGACGCAACCATGGACCTTAATGAATCTTTGCACTTATGTTATGCATCATCTATATTCTTCAACTTTATATATCTTATAAATGCTGCCTAAGGAAAGTGGTTTGAGCATATTGCGGTTAAAATTCTGTAGATTATATTTTTACCATTACGTCTGGTCACTTGTACCATGACATTCTATTAATCTATATGTTCATCTTATCTTCCACTTTTCTGTAACATATATGAGTTGGTAAATTTTTTCTTAGACTGGCATACTTGCATGAAGGATTGGAGCCCAAAGTTGTGCATCGTGATGTGAAGTCTAGCAACATTCTTCTAGACAGGAAATGGAACCCGAAAGTATCTGATTTTGGCCTTGCCAAACTGCTAGGATCTGAGAAAAGCCATGTTACAACACGAGTGATGGGCACATTTGGGTTTGTTCCTTGCTGACTTTAATAGTTTAATTTTCTTTAAACATTCAGCTCAAAATATAGTTTTATGTGCTTATATCTAACCATGCATGTTGCTATAGATATGTCTCCCCTGACTATGCAAGTACTGGAATGCTTAATGAGGGGAATGATGTGTACAGTTTTGGAGTTCTTCTCATGGAAATAATTACTGGAAGGAGCCCTGTCGACTATTCCAGACCACCTGGGGAGGTGAACTAATTCTTCCCCTAGAGTATGTACTTGTATTTATAGCAACATATATATATTTTCTAACTCTCTTTACTGAATTCAGATGAACTTGATTGAATGGTTCAAAGGGATGGTAGGCAGTCGTCGAGGTGAAGAGTTGGTCGACCCTCTCATTGAAATTCCTCCTCCTCCCAGAACTTTGAAGAGAGTACTTCTGGTTTGCCTTCGCTGTATAGATTTGGATGCCAGCAAGCGTCCAAAGATGGGGCAAATTGTTCACATGCTTGAGGCGGATGATTTTTCGTACCGTGTGGTGAGCTTCATTACCTTTGTTTGTTTCGTTGTACAATTGAATGTACTACAACTGTTTGATGCGACCTTTTTAGTGTTTAGTTGGCATTCTGTCCTAATTCACTGTGTGTCTCTGCTCGTATATGCTGTTTCAATCTAAACCAACACCCTAAAGGGAGTCAATTTTTTAATTTTAAAATTTTTTTTTTCCAAGTTCGAGCTACAGCTAATATCAAGTTGAAATAACATCTTACAAAATGTCTTGTAGTCCTGGTCGGCTTTTTATGTCTGATCCCATATGTAATCTTTTGTCATTGAATAGTGCTAAACAAAGCCAAATCCTCACTTCGAGTGCAATTTGATTTAATTTCTTTCATCTGTTTGGGGAGGGTGAATATCTCATTTTTTAGCCGTTTCACAACCTACAGGAACCACGGTCTGCTCGTGAGACAGCTTCTTTGCATCCCCTAGCAAATGGCAACAAAGGAATTGGTGATTGATGATGGATCTAGGTGGATGGTATCTGTCAATGTGCATCAAAAGGTATTAACTGGTTTTGATTGTCTATTTTATCCAGATTAGCAAAAGATAATATTGAAATTCTACCGTCAAGAGATATTTTTGGTTCTTATTTTGCATCCGTCCTGTCACAGTCTTTCTATGGAGTTTTGTAAATATTTCTACTCGACATTAATAATATCAAATTTTTTTTTCATCGCGAAAGTTAAATATCAGTTATGATTTGTTTTGTCTTTTTGAAAATCTGCAATAGAATGATTAAATAAGTGCCGGATTTCATCATTGTCTTGGCCCAACATCATCGGATTGTGCCCTAGAAAAAATCCATAGTGGATCCAAAATTGATTTTAGTGGATTATAGCCCCGACATAATATAATGATACATGCACGGTATAACATAGTGGTTGGGTTGTGCAAATGTTAATGCGTCGTGCCACATTATTTAAGGACCCCTGACTTGTCTCATGATGAGGAAAATAAAAGTATGAAATGGTCGTTAAGAGAACCTCTAAAGTTTGCAGGAGAACCTACCTAAGGCCAAATGCTCCTATCTCTCGGTTAAGATTATTGTTCTTGACTTGTGTTGATTTCACTAATAGAGTTACGTGCTCTCTAGAGATGTCCAATCTAGGTTGGGTTGTGCAAATGTTAATGCGCAATGCGACGGTCGTGCTACATTATTTAAGGACCCTCGACTTGTCTCATGATGAGGAAAAATAAAAGTCTGAAATGTCGTTAAGAGAACCTCTAAAGTTTGCAGGAGAACCTACCTTAAGGCCAAATGCTCTATCTCTTGGTTTAAGATTAAGGTTCTTGACTTATGTTGATTTCACTAATAGAGTTACATGCTCTCTAGGGATGTCCTATCTAATTGTGTCGAAACCGCAATACAATTGGGGCAATACTTATTGCCTCCCCTTAATTGAAGGAATAATGCTACCTATCATCAATGGTGATCATCATCGGTCTAGGTGGCATTGAGTCTTTTGATTCAATGTCCAGTGCATTAAAATTGCATTACAAATTCATTAGATGGGAAATGATTAGGCAGTACATCCAATCGTTATAAAAAATTTATTCCACCTCCCCTCAAAGGTATACCGTAACTTGATCCTCGTCCCATGATGAATTTAGATCTACTATCGATCCTAAGGTAGCGAAATTCCTTGTCGGGTAAGTTCTGACCCACACGAAAGGCGTAACGATCTGGGTACTGTCTCGAAGAGAGGCTCGGTGACATAGACATGTCCGTGAAGATGCGGATTACCTGTACCTAGATAGAAAGACCCTATGAAGTTTCACTATTCCCTGAGATTGGGTTTGGGCCTTTCTTGCACAGCTTGGGTGGAAGGCGAAGAAGGCCTCCTTCCGGGGGGCTCGAGCCATCAGTGAGATACCACTCTGGAAGAGCTCTCAGTCTGACATCTAATGACATTACGGTCGTCGACTTCACAGAGAGAAGAAGTACCAGTACTCCCCACTGGGAAAGAGAATGGATCCTTAGCCATTCTCACCAAGTCACTGGAGTAGGAGAGTCAGAATCGAAAAGAGGATTCCTCACTTCTTTCTCTCATTCAAAATTGTGCATGAGACTTTTATCTCACACGGCTCCTAAGTGATAAAAGAAGAACTCATCTTCTTTCTTTTTTGATTACCTTCCTCGCGTATGTGTAAGATCGAATCTATACGATTTCAAAAAAAGATTACTAATCCTTAACTCTTTGAGGAATCAGTGGTTGTGAATGACTGATTTTTTCAATCTTATTTGGAGCACGGATTTTTCTGGCCCAAGTATATCTTGTCTTTACCACGAATCATTTGGTTAACAATAATTGTTATTTTGCCAATATCTGCGGGTTCCTTAATTTTCTTTCTTCCACATAGAGAGCCTTCCTCGGGCCGGACGGAGATTGGCCCTCGAATGCAAAGGCAGAAGGGAGCTTGACTGCAAGACCCACTTGTGGAGCAGGGACGAAAGTCAATCTTAGTGATCCGATGGTGTCGAGTGGAAGGGCCGTCTCTCAACGAATAAAAGTTACTCTAGGGATAACAGATTGATCTTCTCCAAGAGCTCACATCGACGGACCGACCATAGAACCCTGTTCAATAAGTGGAACACATTAGCTGTCTATTTTTAGGTTGGGCAGTAAGGGTCGGAGAAGGGCAATTCTTGCTTGCTGATACATTATCTTCATTTTGCTCCGAATTATAATCTCTAATGAAAAATATAGTTTCATGAGCAAAAGCTCCTGTCATGATGAATCTTGCTTCGCTAGCAGTGTCGAGCTTTGCTTGCGATTCGACTGGAACTAAGGACCTGAATGGAATTCATGCTGCTATCTAAAGAATGAAGAAACCGCTACTGAATGTACCAGGTGGTGGACTATAGGGAGAGGTAGCCCTCGCCCCGGGGGTCCTACAGTCTGAATAGGTTATTCTAATGTCATAAGTGATAGTTAGAGATCAATCTCTAGCAGACTAAATCAGTTAATCTGATTAGTTGCTCGGAGGAAGGTAGCGAAGTACGAGTGCTCAATTCTGATTCGATATTTGGGCTTTCTTTTGTTTTTTTGCTTCGCTATGCTTTGCTGGACTAAGCCGAAATGAGTGCTTTTCGTCTTAGCTTGAAGATTTGAGCTAGAAGCCAAAAGGAATCATAGTCGTAGTCGATCGACAGGGTTCATTTCTAAGTAGGTGTGGGCTAGGTAGCATGCGATACGACAGCAGTAGCTACGGTAATGCCTTCAACACCGGTTATTCCCACAGCTGATTCTATTCCTTCTAACACTGGAAAAGCCGATCCGATGTTCTTTCCGGTTGTAAAAGAATAGGTCTTCCTATTCTAAGACTTTCATTTCCTCTTCCTTCGGTGTCTTAATAGCCTTAGACTAGGGAATATGAATTAAGATTAAGATTCATATTTAATAATAATACAAGATTATGAGAATAAGAATATGACAACGGTGGGAGAATGCGGCAAGGCCAAAAAGACCGGTGCTTCGCTAACTCCCAAAGAAAGGCTGACATGTGAAGCTGGCGTTAAATTATTACATCAGTTCTTGCTAGGTCATCTCCAATTATTAGCGCATTGGGGCAATTTTCAAATCATTTTACAAAATCATCTCTAACTATTATATAAAATATTGCATCAAATGAACCGTTTCCTTTATTTCCTTATTTTTTAAATTCTCTATCAATTAATTTATTTCAGAAATTATTTAATTACATTTTATATTACTGCTAAAATTATATGTAATTAACTAAAATATTATATTTATTAATTATTACAAAAAATCATTAAACGTAATATCACAATTAAAAAATAATAAATTGGTGTAATTGGAAAACTTCTCGGCAAGTAATATTATCCATGCTGTTGATGAGTGATTACTTAAAATAGGACAATGCTATTGATTGTCATGTCGTGGCTTGTTGATTTTCCATTGGAGAAGATTAACTTTACTCTTTAAAAACGTCTTGTTAATTCATAACAAGAATTGATGGAGTGAGATATCAAAATTTTAGTTGAAAACGATAGATCTCAACTCCACGTAATATTCCAATTCCATCTTTTGCTATCCGACATCTCAAAAGCAAACAAAGAAGACCTTACATTACACATTTGCTCAATTTTTACAATATATGAGGATTGAAATGGGTTCTATCTCTAGAGCTTTTCACATTTGAATAATTTATTCTTACACAGTGTCCAGGCAAATTTGAATTGAAATATATGATTTTCTAATAAATAAAAAATGATAAAAAAAAGGTTTATAGAATTATATAGATTAGACCTATACCATTGAGCGAGGTATGAGCCTGACTTTCCAACTTCCTATTATGCAAAAATTAAGAAAATTATTTTAGACTTTCAAAAGTGATAATTAAATTTTATTAAGTAAATAGTTAATTAAATATATTAAGATCACAATATTATACAGTTAATAGTCACAATTACATGCTAGTATCAATCACAAAATGTCAGAGTCACAAATCACAAATTTATAGGTCACAACTTATTTAGCCCCCGTTTGGTGCCCATCCTATCCAAATTTAAACGGTTGGAATTTTTTTTTTAAATGTGTGGTTGAAAAAGAATGAAATGTTTTTGATTTGCCTGTAATATTATTTTATAGAAGATTGTGTGGTTAAAAATAAGAGAGAGAAAAAAAATGAGAAGGAGAATGGGGGCCAAACGAGGGCTTGACTGTCACAAATAAAAAAATTTATAAGTCACAACAAATATATCAATCATAAATTATCAAATTAATATGTTACGTGTTATTTATCGATCACAAATCACAAATTTTATACGTTATAACTTTTTCATTATCACAAATTACCAAATTAATTAGTCATGAATTATTTATTGATCACAAATTATAAAATTAAATGATCATAATTTAACAAATTGTGACTCACAATTATAAATTTAGTCGTAATCTCATATTTTTAGGTCATATATTATTAATTAATCACTGATCATCTATTTTATCAATCACTGTGAATTATATAACCCGGTTAGTTCAAGAATCAATTTTGCTTACTTTTCTTATTAATTTGATTTTTTTAGTGTTTAATCCTAGTAAAAATCTAATCAATTCTTGTGAAGTGAATTTCAAGAAAAATATGTGGAAAGAAGAGGATGAAAAAAGGCTTGAATATGATTATATTGTTGTGTTCTTAAGTTCTTATTTTGATTATAATGTTGTGCTCTTATGTTCTTATTTCCATATTCAAATTATTTTGATAAATTTATGTATTAATTATTTTATTTATTATTACGGGGTCAACCCTGGTTGAACATTTCAACCCTTGAGCCTTTAGCTTTTTCGAGTTTATGATCGGATCGATTTTCAAAACATTGATTACAAGTTATCAAGATTGATAAAACAAGTCTCTTTAAATATCTTGGGGTAACCAGGGTGGAGTACAATAAATTTCTGGGGAAGTGTTAGAGCCACAGTCCTATTTACATGGCGGCTGATAGCTCCCTCACAACAGGAGGCTTGCTCCTTTTTTATTGGCGCGAGCCCTCCCTGTTGAACACTCACATGAGGTGGGGTCTATTTCAGTAAAAAATTACGAAAAATACCTACTCCACCCACGCCATAAAAGTGTTCAGGAATTCTTTCATGAGGTACATAGACAAATTCTATACCGAATACAACTATTCACCCCACAAACTACTCCTAAGTCCTATCTAGTACCAATTTGAAAAAAGAATAAAAAAATGAAAAAAATAAATTGATTCTCTCTTTCAAAGTCGTTTAGGTCCGCGTCAAAATCATAAAATTTGTACTACATAACATTATTCAATTGTAAAACAAGTCTCCCATATTTTTTTCAATACTTCTGCAACACGAAGTCTTCTCTATTACTGTTAAATAGATATAACTCATTAGTTAATTAAGAATTTCATACTCGGAAATAGGATTGAAAAAAACTCCCGAATCGAATCGAACCTGATCTGAATTGAAACGAATCGAGTGATTCTTTTTAAGTTAAATAATTGAATAAGAATCAAATTTTTTTATTTTTTAAAATTATTTATCTTAAATAAGCTAAATTATTATTATTTTTAAATAAATTTGCTAACTAATTAATATAGCATAAACCTAAAATATAATTTTCTTATTTCTAATTTCTAGCTCAAGTCCAATTTAATCAAATTGAAATATGTTTTACTCAAATCTATTATTCTACTGTAATGTCATTTCAATAGTTTTGGAGAAATTGAATTGAAATCTCGACTATTACTCACTTCATTATTATGTTTTCGTCATCTTTCTCTTCCACTGATTTTAACAATCAAATCTATGAATAAATTAGGTAAGAGAGACACAAAAGATCAATAAAATTTGATTATGTTATTTTGTAAGAGTTAAAATTGAATATATCATTAGTCGAATTAATGTAACGTTATTGTAATTAAAATTTTAGTTATTGTACGAAAATCAGAAATCAAACTTAATGGAACCGAACTGAACGATTCCTTAATTAAATTTGGATACGACAATTTCAATTACTAATTTTTTGAAAGAGAATCGAACCATATTCGACCTTACTAAAAAAGAATTATTCTTCTGCCCCCAGGGCACATCTCCAAGTGGTAAAAGGGGAGGGTGAAGAAATTCAACTTTGCTTAAGACTACTGTGTCAAGAGTTCGAATCCTGAAATATGGATTTGGCTCTTGGGTAAGTGCAAGTGTACAAGCAGCCTTTCACCCTGTACTCTTGGAAGCATAACCTGCGATTTACCTCCCTCACGCTACTTCAGAACAGGAGTGGTGGGGGACCCTTAAGGTTAGGTTTTAACATTTAAAAAAGAATTATTCTTCTCAAATAGGGCCACGTGGGCAGAGCCCACCCAAAAATTCGAAAGTACTGAAAATGTTCTCGTTCACACCGAACTACCTCTTTCTCCACTGACTAATACTCAAAGCGTTACAACTTTCCAACTCCCGCCGGCCCCACCCCCATTACTACACAAGTAACCAGCGACCCACACTACGGTTTTCACCAGTATTCAACCGTTGTCGAATGGTAGTCTTCTTAAAAGTCCATCACTTTAATATATATATACGTTCCAATTTTCGTTTCTTTATCAAAGTTTTTTTGTTTTCCAGATTATTTCGATCTAGTTTTATGCCTTCAAAAATGCAGAAGCAGAAATCTACTTTAATTTTCCTCTTTTGCTTTTTAATACAGTCTTTCTTCACTGCAAGTAAGTTCAAATATATTTCTTTCTATCATTTTCATGCAGCAAAGTGATTCCAGCAAAGTATTTTCCCTTTTTAAGCTAAAAGTTCTATACGTTACTGTTATAGCACTGAGTTAACTCACTCCGAGTTGTCTAACACTGCTTTTTACAGATTCGCAATCGTTTATCGGTGTTAATTACGGGCAAGTTGCCGACAACCTTCCGCCACCGGAGGCGACGGTGAAGCTTTTGAAGTCTACGAGCATCCAGAAGGTGCGGCTGTACGGCGCCGACCCGGCTATCATTAAGGCTCTTGCGAATACCGGGATTGGTATCGTGATCGGCGCCTCCAATGGGGATATTCCAGCTCTGGCGTCCGACCCGAACTTTGCGGGTCAGTGGGTCGGATCCAACGTACTTGCGTACTATCCGGCCAGCAAGATTATAGTCATCAATGTCGGTAACGAGGTCATTACCTCAGGAGATCAGGCTCTCATTTCTCAACTATTGCCGGCCATGCAAAATGTCCAAAACGCCCTCAATGCAGGTAATAATTATAATTATTAATTAACGCCTCGCCGCTGCCCTTAATTACAATTAAAGCAAATTTTAATTTATTTCTATTTACATTGGTATGCTTATTTGACAAATTTTGAGACAAGCCATTAGTAGGAGACATATGGTAGACTTTTGTAGCATGGGTTAGATTGGTCAATTTCTAAATACTATTATTTTCAATTAAATCTCAATAAATCAACAATTATAATCAGAATGAACTTGCGATAAATTAATATGTAATCAGAATAATCAACTCTTCTACTGTCGATAACTCAAATTATGAAATTGAAACTTGAAAAACGTGTACGTTTGAAATACATATTGAACCATTTACTCCTTTTTGTACTAGTTTCATTAGTAATTCTTATGAAAATGGATGATTGATGACATATTAGCTTAATTTTAAAAAATTTACTGCGTAAAATGCACGTTGATCTAGCTTCGGTAGTAACATCTTATGAAAATGGATCAATAATCAAATTCTTGCTTAATTTTGGAAATATTTGTACAATGTAATTTGCAGCTTCACTAGGTGGAAAGATTAAGGTGTCAACTGTACATTCTATGGCGGCGTTAAGTCAGTCTGATCCGCCCTCGTCGGGTGCTTTCAACCCAGGGCTCAGCGATGCATTGAAAGCCTTATTGAAATTTCAAAGTTCGAATGGTTCGCCTTTTATGATTAATCCATATCCTTTCTTTGCCTATCAAAGTGATCAGAGGCCCGAAACATTGGCGTTCTGTCTATTCCAACCAAACGCTGGACGAGTGGACTCAGGAAATGGCATTAAGTACATGAACATGTTTGATGCCCAGGTAAGTAAGTTTATTCTATTTCTAACTTGAGATTATAAGCAGTGTTTATTGAATATTTCGTCTAAAAGTTTAAATAGTTGGAGATTGGACAGATTTACCAACGTGTATTTATTCTAATTATTGGATTCATCTGACTCGATGGTACTTAATTTGGGAATGCCAAAGTCAGTCACCGACCCGTAGACCACGTAATTTGCTGGACTTGTGTCAAGATTTCGTGCAACTTGAATTTGTGTACACATATTTAAAGGATAGGATTGGCCACAAAATTGTCCTTTTTTGTGGAAAAATGATGGCATGTAAGAGTAATATTATCCTGGCTCCATATGGTTGGCTGTAGACACTTGACAGGCTGGCCATTTGAATAATGGCATCTAGCAATTAGTACTTGTTTGCTTAAGCTTAAAGCAAACTTGCATTATTTCATAGCAGTAAGTAAAGACTTAGGGCCCGTTTGGTAGAGATTTTGAGAATTGATTTTTTGACCGTTAGAAGAAAAGTGGGGTCCACATGTGAGAGAAGAAGTCAAAAATTACGGCCTGAATAGTAAAATAACGGTCAAAAAAATCAATTTTTTGGGGCAAAAAATCCCTACCAAACGGGGCCTTACAGTAAAAAAAAAAAAGGTTAGGAGCATGTTTGAGAGTGATTTTACGAATTGATTTTTTGATCGCTAGGAGAAAAGTGAGATCCACCTGTGAGAGAAAAAGTCAAATTTGACGACTGAAATCATAGTTATTTAAAACTGGCCCGACCCGGACGGTTGGCCCGATAAACCGGTGACCCGGGCCCTTGACCGGTCTGGGCCAGCTGATTTTAAATAGTTGCAAGTGGCCCGGTCAAAATTCGGATTTGACCGGTCGGTTCAACCCGGTTCGACCCAGTTGATTTTTAAACTAAATTTTAAAACTCTTTTACATTGAAATTGTAGGTACCAAAGATTTGAACTCTTGACCTTTAAGTAAGTAGAACACAACCTTACCACTAGTGCAAGCAACACTTTATTATCTTTTGTTTAATAAATTATATCTAACCTATGAATAATTTGCTACTTTTAGAAATTTTTTTAAAGAAAATAATTATTTTATATACTTATTTTGTTTGAAAAAAATTAATTTTAACTAAGATAAATTGAATAGATAATGCACAAAATTTTTGTCAATAACTAATAAATAATTTGTAAATCACAAAAAAAGGAAAAATATATTTTTTAATATAAAATACAAAATTATAAAATCAAAATTTAACTATTATCACTGATAAATGAGTTCAAAAAATTATTAATTTAAATTTATAAAAAAATTAGTGACAAAGATCTTGAAAACTTTAATGTTGCCTCAAAAAATAAAAAATAAAAAATTATACGATTATTAAATTATTTTTAAGTAATGACCCACCAGTCTGACCACGGGTTCACCGGTCCAACCAGTAACCCAGTGACCCGATACCTTGACCGGGTCGATGTTCGAGTTGGGTCTGATAACTATGGCTGAAATAGTGAAATAACGGTCAAAAAAATCAATTTTTTGGGGGGGAAAAATCACTCCTAAACAGGTTCTAGATTTTTTATTGAAAATCCACAAAAGAAAGTAACTTCGGAAAAACCTCTCTAAAAAAAAAGTTACTTGCTCAAAAACTCAAAGTAACTTTTAAGCGTCGGCAAATGTGCGGACTCTGTAAATTTTGTCGACGAGGGACCACCAGTTTAGTCTCTTGCAGTAGAGATGGGGTCATGTCTAATGGGCTAACATCTGAAACCCCATTAATGTGAAAATGGTGTGCAGGAACAACTTGCTTTTGTAAGAAACTTAACCAACATCAGATCTCATAGTTGTCACAATCTTTTACATTTTTACAAATGCGGTTATTTGGTCTGAAATTTATGCTATATAGGTCGATGCTGTACGATCTGCCTTGAATGCTATGGGATTCAAGGACGTCGAGATTGCAGTTGCTGAGACGGGGTGGCCTTACAAAGGAGACTCCAATGAAGCTGGTCCTAGTTTGGAAAATGCGAAAGCGTATAATGGAAACTTGATAAGCCACCTCAGGTCAATGGTTGGAACCCCACTTATGCCTGGGAAATCTGTTGATACCTATATCTTTGCACTCTATGACGAGAATTTGAAACCAGGGCCGGGATCAGAGAGGTCATTTGGACTTTTTATGCCCGATCTTTCCATGACTTATGATGCCGGTCTTTCAAAGAGCTCACAGGTGAGACTACTTTCTTTTATTCGATCTAATAAAGCTATTAGTGAAAGATGAAAGTTTAACAAAGGAATGCTAATTGCTTATTCTTCTTGGTTCATCCATCTACTTAGAATCCTTTGCCAACGCCCATGACTCCCCCTCCCATTCCCACGACCCCTACAGCTCCAGTGACACCGGCACCAAAACCAGTAGCGGGTTGGTGTGTGCCGAAGCCAGGAGTAGCTGATGCTCAATTGCAGGCAAATCTTGACTATGCCTGTGGCCAGAATATTGATTGTAGTCCAATTCAACCCGGTGGTGCCTGTTTTGAACCAGCTACCGTAGCATCACATGCTGCTTATGCAATGAATCTTCTCTATCAATCGGCTGGCAAGAATCCATGGAACTGCGACTTCACGCAGACTGCCACACTCACTACTACTAATCCTAGTAAGTACCCTTTTCCCTTCCCTCAAAAATTAACTTGCCATTTTCTTTGTAATTGTTAGGATTGGGTTTCAACCATCTCATCCGAAAACTAATTGGTGTCTGGTGATGTCATATAAAACCTTTTATGGCATTCAACTACCATCTGCTTAAGAGTGGTCGTGTTTCTCTTTCTCCCCAACAACGATGTCCTGAAAGAGTGATGAATAGTTGATGCATATTAGAATGACTTGAATCTTGATGACTTGCTGCACAAATTAAAACGTGATTCTCGACTTAATGGGGGAGAGAGAGAAAGTCCTATCTATATATTTTTTCTTTATCGGTCGAAGTGGGATTAGATTGTATTCTCGACTAATCTTTCTTTCATTTGTATTCTGAAGGATTTTGTTTTCTCCTGTAGGTTACAGTGCTTGCACTTACCCTGGTGGAAGTACATGAAGAGGAAGAGGAAGAGTAAGAGGAATTGTGAAGTAGATAAATAATCAAAAGACTTGCACTTGCTGAAATTGTAAATGAAGGAATGGTATGGCCATATAGTTATCCAAAATGTAAAGGTTTTTGGTGGTTAGAAGAAGCAAGTCTATTGCAACTGATAATTTATAATAAATAAAGAACCAATGAAGTTCACCAATTGATTCTTGAATATTGATATATCCTTGGGTTATAATTCATTTCTTCTGAGTTTAATGATTTCTTCGTTGGTTCCATAATGTCATACTTCTACGCCCACCCGCCTGTACTAGAGGCCAGCCTCTTTATATCTTTTCAATGCAGCCCATTTGGGCTGAGCCCAATCGAGTTCCAGCCATCGAGGGTGCTGACCGGCAAGAGTTATTCTTGGGTGACAACACCCTGGACGTCCAAGGGGTTGTCAAAGGGGCTCTCCCCCACCAACAATATGGCCCGTGGCTTTTACGCACCCATGTCATCTTGAGTTTAAGCACTCTGGACACATTGTCATATCTCCATTCTACCGCGCTATTATTTTACATTATCTCCCTACAAGCACTATGTTTCTCGTGTGTCAAAAGTTTTCTTTTCTTTTTTTAAGCTAACACTACTTTATTTCATTTTTTAACGATTAAAAACTTAGAACATAATCATGGAGAACATTGGTATACAGCTGTTAATAAGGGTACTATTGAGTATTGATAAGATGATTCAATATAATATTATATAGTATGGAAAATGAGTCGAAGATGTCTTGTGACATTTGCAATAGAAATTGCATATCAATTATGAATTGCTTAAAATCATTTGAGCCCAACTGACTTGAAAGTTGTAATAAACTGATATCGAATGTGTTTTCAAGTTTATCACAAGTTCTACTTGTTTCGTTCTACTTGTTTCATTGTACTTATAGTTTTAAACTTCTTTAATTACTAGTTTTGCACCTGTGCAATGCATGGGCTATGTCATTTTTTACGTAATATTAATGTGTCAAAATATCTATTTATTTCTCTCAATAAATTTACAAATTTGATTAATTGTTTAAAATGATAAATGAAAATGTAATCTTCATATATGACACACACTCTGCATCATCATATACTATTGTTAATTGATAACATATATGAGTGTACTTGAGAGTTCAAGTTGAAGCCAAAAGAGTTCATATTTGTCCAAAATAATCGATACACATAAGATATGTGAAAAAAGAGCTACTGAAACTTATATATAATATCTTGTGAACACATCTATTTGATGTACGTTTAACTATTTTTGATATTTATTTAGATCAATCAATATGTCTATGATATAGTTCTCGAAATGAGTTTCGAGAGAATATAGAAGATTTATGCATTTCATATATACACACACACTCCGCATCATCATATACTATTGTTAATCGATAACATATATGAGTGTACTTGAGAGTTCAAGTTGAAGCCAAAAGAGTTCATATTTGTCCAAAATAATCGATACACATAAGATATGTGAAAAAAGAGCTATTGGAACTTATATATAATATCTTTTGAACATATCTATTTGATGTACGTTTAACTATTTTCGATATTTATTTAGATCAATCAATATGTCTATGATATAGTTATCGAAATGAGTTTCGAGAGAATATAGAAGATTTATGCATTTCACTACCGTACAATCGTCGATAAATTTTTAAAGTTAGCCTGTTATCGAAATTCTTAATTTTTTAAATGATATCTCTTTTGACATTAAAAAATATTTAAAACTTTATTAGGAAACTTTCTGAAATGACGTCAAAAATTTTATTATATTATTTAAAAATTAATTAATCGAGAAGAAAAAGTAACAATAAGAAAAAAATTCCTAAAAATGATTGATTTTCTTTTATATATAAATTTTTTTCAAATGTTAAAATAATTAAGATGGAAAATTATTTGGCCTCAATTTTGTGTTTTTATAATTGAAATGTATATTCTGGAGATAGGATAAATACTCCCTTGATGCATGGATTAAAAAATCAAATTTGGAGCTCATAATTTATATATCAAATATTATTTTAGTTTGAGTGGTTATTTTATATATAAATGACGTAATTGATGATAACTATATTCAATATAATTAAATCGTATAATTAATTTAATTTTTTTTATTGTTCAATATCCAATAGACTTAATAAAAAAAATTTATTTACGTGTAATATTATTTTATAGAAGATTTAGCTATTGAAAATAAAAGAGAGAAAAATGAAAAAAAAAAAGATTTAATGGAGCCAAACACAAGCTGAGCCATAATATAATAATTTGTCACTTAAATGTGGTTGAGATTTTTATTTAATTATCCAATTTTGATATATTTGATTTAATCCTCCAAAATATATATACATCCAAAATATTCAATATCGTCAAATAAATTAATCGACATCTTTTCGACCGAGTATTAAATTTTTTTAACATTGTGTTAAGTTTTACTTTGATTTATTGCAACTGCTTTTAAAAAATAAACAATATACATTATTCAACATACTCTGTATCACGTTATAAGGGTAAAATAGATTTGTATAAAAAAAATATATCAATTACCAAGAAAAAAAGAAAAAAAAATTATGACGAAAATGCTTCGTGCATCACGAAGCAATTAATTTGCTCCTGGTACCCGGGAGCAATTTGCTTTGTGCATCATGGAGCAAATGCCACGGAGCAAATGCTCCGTGACGCATTTTTTTTTAAATGATGCTCAGTGTCAATTTTTTTTTTTTATTTTTTTCATTGGATAATTGATATTTTTGTGCGTTAATTTTTTTTAATTTTTTTATTTTTAGCATTGGGTGATTTATTTTTTTTTATTTCTAAAAATCTACCATAAATATTTTATATTTTCTCGAAATTTATTTGGAGAACTATATCGTAGACACATCGAATGATCTAAATAAATATCGAAAATAGTTAAACGTATATTAAACGTGTGTGTTAAAAAATGTGTATAACTCGTTCTTTTTTCTTTAAAAAATTGATTATTTCATTAATATTTATTATATTTTCACGACAATTTTCTCAATATAATGTACATCATTTTCTTAAAAAAAAAAAAATTATGTGTATGAAGTCAACTTTTTTTTTTTTAGATGTAAAAATTCAAATTAGGCAAAACGGGGAATCAAATCCTTTAGGTAGCACACTATTTTTGACTTTTTGTTACTTTATCTACATACAAAAAGGCTATTAGACCCTTAGTATGAGAGTTACTGTACGAGGGAGTGAGGATAAAATGAGAAACACCTAAATACGTCCCGAATAAACAATAACCAGCTGATTCGTTCTTTTAAGATAGTAGTGATTGGTCAAAAGAGTAGAGATTTTGTCAATTGTTTGAGAACAAAATGGAAAATGAAAATACTTCAAAAATGAATAGTAAATGACATATTGAAAAAGAGTAGAGATTTTGTTAATTGTTTGAGGACAAAATGAGAAATGAAAACACTTCAAAAATGAATAGTAAATAGTGTATTAGCCCCCGTTTGGCTCCCATTAATTTCCATTCCATTACATTTCGTCCCCGTTTGGCCTCTATTTCGTGGTAATGAAAATGAGTGTAATAGTGTTTTTTTGAAAAATGAGTAGTTGAAAAGAAGGGAAATTTTTCGATTTACGTGTAATATTATTTTATGAAAGATTGTATGGTGGAAAATCGAAAAGAGAAAAATGAAATGAAAATTAATGGGGGTCAAACAGGGGCTTCATTTTTTTCTCTTATTTTCAACTACACAATTTTTCATAAAATAATATTACACGTAAATCTAAAACTTTTTATTCTTTTTCAACTACTTATTTTTTAAAGAAATACTATTCCAACTATTAATTTCTACACAAAATGTGGGTTAAGATGGTAGTGAAATAGAGTTGATAAAAACTATCTTTGCATTAGTTTTATATTGTTTAATATCAAAAGTTGTCAACAATCCATTGTCGTCCAGCGGTTAGGATATCTGGCTTTCACCCAGGAGACCCGGGTTCGATTCCCGGCAATGGAATTTTTAGTTTATTTTTGGAAAACTGACCTTTTCTTTTAATTTGCAATTAATTATGCACATTCTCCCATAATTGCCCTAAATTAAAATATTGTTTTTATTTTCAACGAGTGATCTCTTTCCTACGAAATCATTTCCATGTCAATGAAAAGAAGGTTTTTGTTAATTTTAAAATTAGACAAACTATCGCATTTTTTGGAATTTGACCTTTCTCCAATCAGAGAGTCCTTATTACCCATCCCTTGAACTAAATTCCATTCTCAGTCTCTTATCATCTTACTTTTCTTTCTTCCTCTAATTGCAATGACATAATTAAAAATATAATTTAATAATTTTATTAAAAACATTTTCTTTTTTATTCATTTTAAATTATATTCTTAATAGTTGGAAAGTTAATTTCGGATTGTCGTTCATGCCCAGTTCTTTTCTTTTCTTTTTCCTGACACATTTTAATTTGTATCTAGTAAGTCGTACTAAGGCTTTGTTTGTCTACCATTATGCAACATTATTTTTTCTACAGTATCCATTTTCAACAACACATAAATAAAAAACTTTCATTCTTTTTTAACCACACATTTCAACATCAATCACTAGTATATAATACATTCTTTACAAATAATGGGACACAAACACCCCCTAAACAAGACGTGTTGAAGGCAATGTAATTTTACTCTCTTTTACTGACGAAGAGCCTGTTTGAGCCACATTATAATGAGAATGCGAATGAGAAATAGAGTTGTTATGGGCCCCACACCAGAGATAGAAATTCAAAAATGGTGGCTTGATGTGATAGATAACGGTCATATTTTTCATTTTAATGAGGTAAAAATGTGGCTCAAATAGGGGCTAAATTTAATTTAAAAAAATTCATAATAAAGTATTTCAAAATAAATAGGAAAATAGAATTACATGCACAAAGATAAATATAAAAGTTGTGGCTAAATTAAATTCCTCTAGCGGTATCCAACCTTTTATAAGTATGACAATTATGTTCTCAACTTTTCATTTGTGCATACATATTTTTAATCTTTTAGTGTGTTGCACATAGTATCTCGCACGATGAAAATGTCTACGTAAAGGTTAAATAGCCATGCGATAGACATTTAATGATTGACGAAAAGGGTAAAATTACACAAAATTTAACTATAATTTTTATCTATAGTGTAGATAAATATCCAAGTCAAGTTAAACAATCATATGTTGATTCATTTATGACCATTATAGGAAATAAGAAAAACATTAAATGCGGTGTAATTAACAATATTTCGTGGCGTCGATATAAAGAAATTTTTTCCTGGACAATTTGCATTCCTTCAATCAGATATCACGTGCTTATTGTCTGAATATTTAACATTTAGGGTCTATTTGATTGTGAAGATAGAATTTGAGTGGAAAAAAATAAATTCCAGAGAATTGAATTACCTAGAAATTGTTTTCTTGGAAATTGTAAATTATTGTGTTTGATTGGTATAATTTTTCACATGGAAAATGTTGAAGTAAAAGTGTTTTTTGATGTTCATTTGATTTTGTTTTATATGAAAAATGTCAATTTAAGGGATATCCACTTCTACCATTATTCATAGAATTTGTTTCCATTGCCAACCAAAAAAAAAATCAAAAAAATCAAAAAATCATCTATATTTTAGTATTCGTTTGACTTTATTCTACATGAAAATTTTCAATTTCAGGGATATCCTCTTTTACAATTGTTCCTAGAATTTGTTCCCATTGCCAACAATTAAAAAAAAACAAAAAGCAAAAAAAAAAAAGGTGGAAAACAAAAAACCACCTATCCCTAGGAAAATAAAAGGTGGAAAATCATGCTTTAAGGTATTGTACCTAGAAATTCATGGAAAATCAATTCTCTGGAAAATTTTGTTAACCAAACAAGCCAAAAGTGAAAGTTGGAATTCAAATTTCAAGTTCCATGGAAAATTTCGTGCAATCAAACAGGATTTTAGATAAAAAAAAAAAAAAATTAGGTGACATTCAATAATGCGGCGTGACAAGGACAATTTCAGTCCTTTCAGTAAGATATAAAGTGCTTATCGCCAGCCTATCGCCTAAGAATTTAACATCCAAGTGGACATATTGTGCGCAAAATGATAAAAGGTTTGGGTCATCAATATCGCAAATGGAAGGTTTGGGTACATAAATCACATAGTTATGAAGGTTTGGCAACTTGCAGGATTTATATGGGCCCCGCATCAACGGCATCCCATTCCACCTACTATTATGGAAAGAGAAGGTCCGGCGGCTCTGTCTTTCTCTCTCTAGACTCTCAACAGAGTCTACCTTGCGTCCACTGTCCACACCATTTCCAAGTCATCACTTACCAAAACGTCTTCGTCCCGTTCTCCCCAAATATACTCTGTACGCCCGTTTAATCCCTTACTTCTTTGTTGTTGATTTCAAAAACATAATTTGTACATGAATTAAGCGTAAATCGTGGTCTGGGCCGTTCGTCATTAAAATTAGGGATCAAATGAAGCTGAACGGGTAAGGTTTAATGGAAAACAAGATGTCAGTTGCAGAGCTGAAAGAGCGGCACAGGGCCGCCACTGAGACCGTCAATGCCCTCAGAGATAAATTGAAACAGAAGCGTTTGCTCCTTCTCGATACCGATGGTAATTATGTAAAATTTTTTTTATCGTAATTATAGCTGTTATGATTTGGTTTGAATTGGAGTGTTCTTCAGATCTGTCAATGTTGGTGCTGGTTAATTCAAT